GACATCAATGGGCCAGATAGTGACATGGGACACCCTGATGGTCGCACAGTCTAGCTTGTCACTTCAATCGTCACTTGTCACTTGGCCCGCGATAACCCCAAGCTGAGCACTTCGTCAACTTCGGCCGCATCTTACCTCAACCAGCATCATCACCTCCGGCTTCATACCCGCGAGGTTCATGAGGCCCAACTGATTGACGCATATCAACAACGCCGCCATGGCGCCAAGCTGGATTTTCGGCGCCACCATCGCCCTCGTCTGCCGTGTTGCCCACGGTGCGCAGCCGGGAGCTGTGCAGCCCGTTGCCGCGCCGATGCGTGACCTGGCCTGGGGACAGCTCAACTTTTTGCACACCACCGATACACATGGCTGGCTGAGTGGCCATTTACTAGAGTGAGCTCACCTTCTTCTCTTGGAACGAACCACTGGGCCACGCTAAACACAGTGCTGACGGAGCAAGACCCCAATACTCGGCCGACTGGGGTGACTACATTTCATTCTCCCAACACATGAAGAAGCGCGCCGATGATACCGGAAGCGATCTACTCCTCATCGATTCAGGCGACCGCGTTGAAGGGAATGGCCTCTACGATGCATCGACCCCCAAGGGTCTATTCTACTACGACGCTTGGGCCGAACACCATGTCGACCTAATCTGTGTCGGCAACCATGAGCTGTACCAGGCTAGCACGGCCGATTACGAAGCGAACACAACCGTCCCCAAATTCGGGGATAAATATGTGGCTTCAAATGTCGATTACGTTGATCGCGCGACGGGCCAACGGAAACCCCTGGCACAGCGATACCGCAAATTCAAAACCAAGAACAAGGGACTCGAGATTTTGGCGTTTGGCTTCCTGTTCGACTTTACCGGAAACGCCAACAATACTGTTGTTCAGCCTGTTGCCGAAACCATCAAGGAGAAATGGTTCCAAGACGCCATTCGCGAGAAGCCCGATCTTTTTGTTGTGGTGGGCCATGTCGGCTTGCGCATGACGGAATTCCGCACCATCTTCACGGCTCTGCGAAAACAGAACTGGCACATTCCAATCGTATTTTTCGGTGGCCATGCTCATGTGCGAGATGCCTTGAGCTACGACTCGCAAGCATTTGCCATGGCGTCGGGACGATATTTCGAAACTGTTGGTTTCATGTCCATTGATGGCATACAAAAGCAGTCGGCCGATGACGTCTCAGCCGCGGCATCACTCAAGTTCAGCCGCAAGTACATTGACACGAATCTTCTTGGCATGTACTATCATACTGGACTCAACCAGACAACTTTCCCCACCGACAACGGCAAGCGTGTATCCAAACAGATTGCACGCGCACGCAAGACGTTGGATCTCGACCACCGCTACGGTTGTGCTCCGAAAGACCTGTGGGCAAGCCGTGTCCAGTATCCCAACAACGCAAGCATTTACTCTTGGATTCAAGACGAAGTGTTCCCTGACGTCGTGGTGAACACGAAGCGCAAGGACAAGCCTCGCCTCGCGATCCTCAACACGGGAGGCATCCGATTTGACATTTTCAAAGGCCCATTTACCCGTGACTCAACGTACATTGTCTCTCCGTTCACGAGCGGCTTTAATTACGTGCCTGATGTGCCATATAATATTGCCAGCAAGGTCCTCACCCTTTTGAATGGCGCAGACAAGATCTTGAGCACCCACGGCGCCGAGACCAAGTTTATGGCGATTCCCGAAGTCATGTTCCCATCCGGACACGGCCAATCGCCAGCTGATGCGCATCAGGCCGACAACGAGAGGCTTGAACTACGCGACGCAAAACCAGATCTGATTCGCGGCTACACCACCAAAGACGACATTGGCACAGATGGCGATGATACCGTCCACGAAGCCATTCCGTTCTATAACATTCCTAATTGTATCCAATCAGAGATTAATTTCCCCGAGAAAGGGGACCCCGAGACGGTTGACTTGGTCTATATCGATTTTATTCAGCCCTGGATCATCCCGGCATTGAAGTTTGCCGGCGGCGACTATACCGCTGATGATGCCAAGGTGTACATGGACGGCACGCTGACGTATAAGCTAAGCGAATGGATTGGTAAGAATTGGCAGGGTGACTGTTGATGTAGTGCGGCTGCCAGCGCTTCGGGGATGCCATAGATGTAATAATGCTTCAAGTTCTGCCAAGAGTTGCCCGTGAGACTAGTCGTTGTGAGGGGCTACGTCGTGCCCCCTGCCACATGCCCTTGCCTCCCTTCGACACCGCATCTATCGGCCAGACTCTTAGTATACGGCGTTTTCAAGTTTGGCATGAAGAGACAATTCGGTGACTTGTAGGCTTTGGTGGACGGACATCCGCGGCCGGCCCCACTCGGGGTTTCCGCGGCTCCGTAGGCCCCGCGCCGCGTTGGCCTTGTCCCTGCGGAGACGGAGCCCTTGTGACCGGATGCCGGTGCGAGTTTGGGCCTGCAGCCCTGCCGTCTGGATGCGAGGGGCCGCGAGCAGTATTGTTTCGGCTGCAAAGGCTGCCACGACGACTCTTGCCCGCAGGTCGTCTTCCCAGAGCATGGCTACAGTGAGGCTCTACCCGATAGCCCGTTAAATGAGGGCGTCAGGGCATCAAGATAATTCAAGACGCTCTTCGCCTCACGACGCTTCGCTAAAATTTGAAAAACGTTATGATTCATCTCACAGCGATCCTGACTGCCACGCCACGGCTCTATACGGAATATACGCAAACATGGCTATCATAAGCAACTCAGTGGCAAAATTTCACATCAAATATACCACATGTCATTATATGGCACATCAGCGATTGAGAGTCTAGGTCTTGCTTGCCACAAGCTGTCCCTAAACCAGAGCCCCGCGCAACACTAACAGCTTCTCCAAGGCCTCACAGTTTCCCGGAGCCCTGGATGGCGCCAATCCAATGTCTCCCTCCATTCCCACCGCGAAAATATGTCCCTCGCTCAAGACCGTCCAGGCACCGCTCGACACTTCCAAGACGATTCAAAGGCGGTGGGAACGGCTTTGCTGGCGCAGCCCGACAATCTTCAACCTGCGGCTCCAGCACCATCGTCAGATGAAAGTGGCGCCAGGTGGCATTCTCGAATCCATAGTCCAGCTTCTCAAACACTGCGGCCAGTGCCCCCCGAGCCGTCTGGCCTGCTGTCTCCACCTTGATAGAAACAGCTAGCATGCTTCGGTGCAATCAGCAGTAGAACCAGACGCCAATGAAGGCTTTCCCTGTCTATTCCTAGGCATGCGCAATCCTTACCCTGCGTGGGCTTCACGGCTGGGTGGGGCATCCGGTCCAGCACCATTTATATTTCCCAAACCGGACGCGATCCGCCAATCAGAGAAGCGTTCTTCCGGTGATGATGCCGTTGCCCGGCGCCGACTTTAACCACCCCCCATTCCGGGGTGTTGCATGAACCGTGATGCACTGTAATTACACATACTGTCCATGATGGTTTTGGTTCCAGAATAGATAGACCATGTTAATACTTTCTCTCATTCTGCCAAAGCGAAACATGACTCCCCAAACAGAAGAACCAACCATTGGGCATGAATGTTTGTATTCCTGTCTAGTGCGCGGTACATGGTTGTCGCTAATTTTTGGCAGACGCGGTTGGCCGCCGATAGTGCATTTTCGACTTTGGTGGCTGTATTCTGGACGCTTCTTGCGACACCCTGGTCTACAATCTTATGCAGTTGAATGGAGGCAAAGCCTCGCAGATTGGAGATTGTGCCGCCCGATGTTCTGTGTACCATCCATCATCTGACGAAATATGTGCTAGGATCTTCATCTTGGAAAATATAATTATCTGTGCTGTCCGCATTTCGCATACTTTTTAACAGTCAAGTTCCTTGATGAGGAGCTGGCCAGCCCTGGTCCTCGGTTCCTAACGTCGGATGAACTTGAAACGGTCATACGCCGCCTTGACTCTGACCGCGGTAATGTCGGCGCCGAGCCGTTTTAATTGAGGAAATTTGTCGGGCCAGGCTCGAGATTTGGTGTTTTGCATTCCTCTTCTTGTACGCAAACGGCATCCGTCACCAACTTCTCGAGTTTTGACACGGTATAAATGCAGCCTAGCTACTATGTTATCATATTCATTCGCCTTTTTCCCGCCAAAAGTTCTTCAGCAAACGCTACGATCCAGCGTCGTCGAAACCCAGTGTTTATGAACGCCGCCGTACTTAGTTGCTGCGTTTTACATGTTCGCAGGATCCTGGTTTGGCGATCGACACTGGAAGCGAGCACCCATTATCCAGATAAATTCCCTCTTTGGCATAATTGGCTTCCACATTATGGGATTCCATGAGGTATTTCTGCATCTTTCTGGCTGCTGCCGGAGTTAATGCCAATGTGCCAGCAACAATAGCGTGGCAGGTAAGCATCCTCTGGATCGTTTCAAGGCATTGACATAGCTGACTGTGCGCCATAGGCGAACCATATTCATGGACAATGGCAAAGGGTCTTTTCCTCCAGCATGTCGACCGTATTTGTGAATATGAGCGGCATAGCCGGCAGTCTTGTTTCTAAAGCCAAGACAAGCCAGGATACGCGCCTCGTTTCATAGCTCGTTTGACGGAATCGAGACAATTATCTTCGGTCGCCGTGGCATTTAGACAGACTTGTCTGTGAAGAATCAAAGTGAATTAGATTCAGTGAGCAGCTGCAAAGCCGCACCGACTCTGTGATTGAAGACAGCCTAGCAAGCACGTCGCTGCCGGCACAAAGAACGTCGCCCGCTCAACCCTCCCCCCGGATGAACAGATCTCTTTCAGCACATCTCCAACACACCACGGAAAGAAGCTCACGCAGTGAAAGACATGATTAGACAAGCTCTGGCTCCGAGCCGGCCATCAGTCGCGACTATAAAGCTCTGCTCTCAGACGCTCATGTCTCCTTCCCTTGAAACCCATCACAACTCAGCACTCGACGATCTCGACACTCGACAGTCTTAACACTCGACAATCTCAACCAACACTCGAACTCTTCAGAAATTATCTTTACCAAACATGGCCGATCCTGCTCCCAAGACGTCCAATGCAAGCGATGCAAGCAATGCAAGCGACGGCGGCTCCAGCAGCCAAAACAAATCCGGCACCGTCATTTGCGACAAAATGATCGGACACACTTGGTTCGCACGACCAGGTTTTGAGGCCAAAACTTGCCCTTATTGCCAAAAGACTGCTGGGGGCTCAAGCAAAGAGTAAGCACCCAGGCGACTGTTCTTGACAGCGAAGACTGACAGGAAGATTTAGGAGTCCGCAGAAGTGACCTATCCCCCGAGACAAGGCGGAGTGGTCGCACAATCGAGCAAAAGAAACTCATCGAACGCTTTCAAAGATTTCTGTCAATCGGATTTTCTTTCATCTATGCATCGATGGCGGCCGGCAACAAGGAAAGGGGGGTCGGGTGAAGGAGTCAATGTTCATGTACGGCATTGAAAGGGAGGAGACTAAGGACGATGTTATGGGGAGAAGGTTCATTTCAGTTCTGGAGCTTAATTTATTGAGCTAGCTTTTTGTGCCTCATGAGGCCTATTTGAGATTTGTTTGTCATTGGAAGATGCAGGATGTGCCTTAGTTGGGCGCTACATGCGCGGCTTTGTTCAGAGCAGCGACGGGTCATTCGGGGTGTTTGTATGGAGATTTCTTGCGACAATTCTGAATTCCAAACCGGCGATTTTGCTCTTCACTTGTTTTCTAGATTATACTTGAGTCATTGACGGGTAGTGCGCGATCGTATGGACTGAATGACGATGCCTGAAGTGAATGACAGTGCCTGAAGTGAATGACAATGGCCGAAGTAAGTGGTTGGGTATTTGATCCCTACAAATGACATTTGTTTAACAAATTGGGCCTCCCCTACTTGAAAAGTGAATTGCTCGGCGGGCTCACTCTTTTTGCAAGGTGCGCTTATCCCCTTACTACTTATAAAGGCAAGTAGGTATTTATAATATTTTTTTATATATATTTTTAAGAGCTAATTTATAAGAAAATATATATAAATATATAGCCTAGTATCTAGGTACCTGGTATTACGTGAGCGCACCTTGCAAAAAGAGTAAGCCCGCCGAGCAATTTATCGTGAAAAAAGTCAACTGAATAATTATCCTTGAATGATGGACATCACTGACCGATACTAAGAGATAAAGGACATCTAGCCGGTCTGTTATGCATTGATAACCACCCGGAAAAGCACCCAACTCCGAATTAGTTGCACATCTGAACGTGGTCTCGCTACAAACCTCTCAGCAAGGCCATGAGAATGCAGCGACTCATTTATCTAGCATCAGATCATGCCGTACGCTTATCTATAATTGTCGATTACATTTCCATGCTAGGGACAAGTCCTCAATCATTGGCATCGTCCTTTTTGCGAGATAACCAGAGCGTCGCCCCGGACCTACCCTACAGAATCATCAGAGACCACTGACCAATGCAATCGCTGAATGCTCAACTGAACATTGGACCGGCCAAATGCTCGGTGATACTCTCCAGTCTTGGCTGCTGTCTGCAGCGCAGTTGCGTTGAACCAGTCATCACCCTCTGAACAACGCCGTCGCCCGTGTATGGACAGCATCTTCAACGGCGGCTCTGTTGGACAAATCACAAGCAACCTGGGGCTTGCCACTCGGATGGAACCGTTGTTGGTCAGATCGCCTCGGGACGTTGCAATGCGAACACATCGGAATGCGGAGTTGGCCACGACAACCTGATCCCGTGTCCCTCCATGTGAGATGGCACCCTTGTTCCACTGCACCTCGAAGGCTAGGTCGAAGTGTCTCCTCGTTGTCAGCGGGTAGAACGGGGCAATAGAAATTGCGGACTCGACAGCTGGAAGTGATGACACTCCCCTCGCATTTGACGGAGTTGCAGGTAAAGTCACGGATAGGTGAGATGAATCTTGGTGCATGGCTTGAACTTCGAATTAATGACCACGCTGTTTTCCGGTCCTCCACGGAGTCACACTGGGCTACATGATCACGAAAGTGTGTGGCAACAGGCAATTAATGACTGCTCCATTATAAGTGGACAAACTGGAGCGCCAGGCTGACAAACTCTTTGATGGGGGCTATGAAGCCTCAAGATTCGGCGGACCGTGGTTGTTTTTGGCGGAGTGAAATCGAGAGTGCGATATATTTTCGTGGGATATCCATAGCCAAATGGGCTTGCTTGTCGTCGGTTCCTCCGTCATGTTCCATTAGGGTCGGCATTGTGTGATGCAGATCGAAGACGGGGTGGGAAGTTGTAGGGATTGGAAAGGCATGCTGCACATGATGAAATTAGCAAGCAATACTATTGCCGTCGTCACAACCGTGGAACCATTTTGGTACTGATGAGATCCTATTTGGCTGGGAATAGTGTGCCCCCCCGGCCAACGAAGTCGTGCACCCATGCATGCACCCATGCATGCGTGAAGGCAGCCACAAGCAACAGGCTGCGATGGGACAGCAGTATGCAGCCTGTGGGTGCTCCGATGGAACGACCGACTGGTGATGGATGGGGTTTGTTCACGGCATATACCACTACCTGTTCAATTCCGTACAGACCTTGTGCAGCGTGGCAGTTGACATGGCCATGTATACTTACCACACAACCACTGACGAGAGAGGAGGCTAACGGCCGACTTTGTACTCCGTAGTAGGAAAGGGAGGGTAGATCCGGCGCCTTGAGACGGATGTGTGATACACATGCAGGACCGGCGGCTGCGCATGCCTTTCAGTAACTGTTTGTCCCAGGTAGGCACTGACGCTTCCACCTACTTGAGTACGCAATGTTATTCGCGGGCGAATCGATTTAGAACCGTTGTTAACCCGCAGCATGCATCTACACGACGGCATCTGCAAGCTCATTTCTATAGTACCCCAGGTAGATATGTAGGGTTTCGGCCACGAACCTCGGGAATAGAGTGGCGGGACGGGAGAAGCTAACAAACTACTACCCGTTGGCAACTAAGTGGCTAGTCTTATTGCCGTGCTTGTTCTTGACTCTTTCCAACTCTGGCCAACAAGCCATCAACCGAGACGCCAAGGCACAATCAAACCATGGCTCGTGAGGATACGCTAGCAACGTTAGCATCCCGAACGAGGGGCGAGGCTTTCGACCTTCGCAACGGCCGAAATTTGGAACCCCACAGAAAACGGGGTCTGGCCAGGCCACAAAGGTGGATGGGCAAGCAGATGGATGAATGGGGGACGAGGGCCAAGACAACATGACGTCCTGGCGCAGGACAACGTGCGAATGAGGCATCCAACAAAAGGAGAACGCCTCCTTTTGTGTTTGAAGATTAGCAGTACTCTGTATGTACTCCGTAATGGGGAGGGATAGAATCCTCTCCCCATCAATCCAGACGGACGCCATTTGTAGATATCTGAATTCCGAGACACGGGCTAGAAAAACAACGGGACCGATAAGACCTCTTGGCTCTGCTTCAGCGATGGTCACTGCAGACTTATTAACCACCCCAAGCCATGGGAACGGTTCGTCGCATGATACGCGCCGAGCTTGCTCTGGACTGATCCAAGACCAGCTCTCGTAGATCCGATATTTCTGTTCATCTAGTAGTACAGTGGCTGTCGGCTCATCATTTTGCATGGATTCGCTACGGATGCTGCCCTGTACGATGCTTAAGGTTCAGGATACTGTCGAGCTCTCGCACCATCATCCATGGACCCGGATTTGACGTTCGCGCGAAGGATGCTAAAGTTTACTTACCAGGTGAACCATGTGAACCGACCAGCGGCTAGGGGGCTACTGGCAATGTTGCACTCGCTCCGAAGAGAGAGGGTAACACAGCAGATGAAGGCGCCCAAGCATACTCCGTATAGCTGCGCTATAAAACGAGTTTGGTTTACTGGTCACATCGAACAACTTGTTCCAATTAATTGAGAAGTTTCTCATGGCCGGTGTGTGGATACCGGAAACAATGGACCCTTTTGGGCTTTGAGGTTGTTTATAGTGTGCTGACCAATTTGGTGGAAGCGACTGTTCCAGGCGCCGCGCAGGAAAATTGAGCGGGGCCAAAACTCCGCGTTCCGTGCAATTTCAAAAGAACAGCGGAACACCATGGAGGTGTTGATTTGACTCAGGGGCGTGTTCGCCATCAGGGCGCAAGTTGAAGATGGTGGCGTGTTGTGGTGAGCTCTAAAGGCTGTCCTGACACGCGTTGCAGGTCCATGACTACGCCAGCACGAAACCATTCTAGCCCTGTCATGACTGTTGACGTCAACCAAGTCCCTCGAACCAGGATGTGGAATGAACGCAAGGACAGAGTGGCCGCGAGTGGTACGCCATAATGCACCCCATACACAGTATCGGACACACTTAGCCGAGAAGGATAAACCCGCTGTCCAGATTGAAGGGGGTGAGCATGAAGCAAAATCTATGCTGTTTGGTAGGCGAGATGAACGAATAGCAAGCCACCGTACGGAGTACAGCATAATGAGTTCGGCTGATGACGGGCTGTGTCGATTGGTGTCTTGGATGGAATGAATAGCGAAGAGTCAAGACCTCCATCGTTGGACAGCTTGCTCGAGTCTAGATGTAGACGGCCTATGTCTGTATCAGTGGTGGATGGCGTATCGCCAAGAGCGAACTGGCATTGCCAACATGTAGTAGCCATACAGTGTGTCAATGTCCCGCAGCTCGGCAGCCAACTCTGGCTCATGCGAGCCGCCGTCAGTCAGGTAATAGTCGACTATCAGCAGATTCTGTTGTCGCGACAGCCGCGGTGTGATCCTCACGGTCCGGAGTCTAGCGTGAAAAGGCATAGCATTGCGCCTTCAGGTGAACAGGCAGCCGGATAGTGGCATCGGCCGGATTGGGGGGTCAGTCAATCTCGCGCATGGCGTAGGCTGAGTGATGTGTGTGTGTGTGTGTGTGTGAGCACGATGTGAGGGCCGAAGTATCGACCGATGTCTTTTTGGTGTTGGGCCATGGACATGAATGAACATTAAACATTGGGGGCAACAGAGCTTCTGCCCGGTTGCTCTGCTCCTGCCTTCGTTCTGCAGCCACCCTCTCGTCAACAGCTGGCTGACAGGCACCTGACGGACATTAATTGTCCTGGCGGGCTCTGGCGGGCCACCTGGCTGGACCTGGCTCGCACCTGGTTGGCCCGCCCGCTTCTCTTCCCGTCGACTCCCGCGCTCTCTCCTTTCCTGAAAATCCACAGGCTCCATTTCGCCCTCCGAAATTTCTCCCCCCCGTCAAGTCATCACACACCCGCACCACGATCTCGTCTCGTCTCGCCCACCCACGTTGTCTCTGTCCGTCCCTCTTGGGCCTCTTTTCCCTCTCCTCCTCTAGACCCCTTCCCATCGCCCCCGTGAGGCCTATATGCTACTGACCGAGATAGCTCTCAGCCTTCTGTGAGATAGTCTCGTTCCTTATCTTCTCTTTTTTTCCCTACTCTCTTTTCGATACCCCTGTTTGTTGCTCGCATATTTCCGCGCAGCAGTGGCGTTACATTTTTCTTCCATCTTGGATCCCGATCCTTTTGCGCTGCGCTCTGTCCCTGTACCAAACACTGTTGCTCGGGACTTTGCCTTCGATAACCACTACGAGGTACGTTAGACTGTTTCTACCGGTCATTAATGCCGATGCGACAACGGGCACATTCGAATAGTCGCCGCCCTCTGGGCCCCGGGAGGCTGTCTTTACGCATCTTGCCATAGTTGCGCGGAACACCGGTTGGTGTGCTTGTGCAACTTCTGCGATGATGTCTTATCCATTCTCTCCCGCCAGATGACCGGTCGATAATTTTGGTTCTGGAGGGAGCTCTCGTCTCTCCTCATGTTTCCACGCCCTCAACCAATCGACACCTGTCCTTGCCGAAACAATCTGCCTGCAGACTGACGTTTGGAATTTTTTGACAGACAACGAAAGGCCTCTTTTGCATCAGCTTCTGGCTCGAACGCCCTGTTATCCTCTTGCAATCGCCATCCTATAGGAAACATGTCCTACTACGAAAACGCTCAGTGGCCCACCCCGAGCCAAAATAACTGGGAGCATCAGCAGGGAACGTCAACTCCTACTCGTGCCGGTACGACCGATCCAGCTTTATGACTATAACTTGTTGATTGAGCACTCTAACACCGTCTCTACAGGTGCCAGTGGCCCGCAGCCTCAGGATGACTTTGCATTCTCCTACCAATTCGATGGTGCGTTCTCTTGCCAAATTTTGTTACTACTTTTACTACTACGATGTTTTGTGTCCCCTTAAGTGGGCCACCTTATTTGTTTGCCATGGCCTGCACCTTGTTGAATCAACCGTTTCCCACTCCCCCAGCGCGTATTTACCGAGGAATAATTGGCTGACGCTGTCTTTAGAGGTTGACCGTGCCTTCGAGAATCTCCAAAAGTCCGGCAAGGGCTACGCCATGGGAGCCCGACGTAAGCCTACTCCGAAAGCCTCGCTGCGAAGTGGTGCCCCTATATTTACTGGTGAGGCGGCGAGAAAAGGATTCTCTGCATCAAAGTGCTTGCGCTGACACCCTGATTATATGCAGATGGCCGAGTTTCCCACGGTAGTGGACCTCGCTCGCACCCCATGAACAACACCTTCGAAGGGCCCCAGGGCCACAATCTTCACAATTTTTATGCCTCGCAGCGCCATCAACCATCACGAGGCTCCAACGAGGCAGAGCAGGTCATGCAGGCTAAGAGACGGATGGCGGCTCAGCGGGAGCGCGAGCTGCGCAATTTACACACTGAGCAGCAGTATCAACGAAGTAGGCCACCCTCTACAGTATAGCACTTTATGTCACGCAAGAGGACCCCCAAAGTAGAAAGTATATATGCAAGGAGTCGGGCGAGATCATCATGATTATTGCAATTCTGTTGTCCGCTTTTATCATGTTGACAAATCATTTTATGTTTGGGGCATGCATTTTCGGGTCTACATAAAACCGTCCTCAGCAACGGTGCTGGTCACATGGAGCATTGGCTAACTGCTTTTCTTCAACGTAGATGCGCTGACGGACGCGCCCCAGCACAACAACACCACTCCCGCCAATAACAACGCCAAACATATGTCGGAGGAAGAAACTCGCGAGCTTATTGCCCGTCAGCGAAGTGCTTTGTACGGCGAGGGCCCCTTTGCTGACAAGACGAGCTATGTTGATGAGTCCGGTAACATTCGCCCTGGTGTCCCGGGCCAGAGCGGGCCATCCAGTATTCGGGGCCCTTCGCCCTTAGCCTTTGAAGCCATTGGCCGAGTTCCATCTGGAGCAGAGGTTGTTACTCCCGGCTCTGCTAGCGATCACAACGCGACCATTGCCGATCCAGGCCCCAGACCTCAGAGCACCAGCAGTCCTCAAAACTCTGGACCGACTAATAGGGCATTCGACAACGCTGTCGGCTCCCAAAGCCGCACAAGCACCTCTAGCCCTACTGGCGGATCCCCGCCTCGCGACTTTGTACCTGGCTCCAAGCCTGGCCAAAGCGGCGCTACTGTTGCTCCCATCGGAACTCGCCCTTCTGGAACGCCATCGACCACAACTTCTGGCAAGCGGTCTACCACCCCTCTGGCCTCCTCCTCTGGTGGCTGGGGTCGTGGAAATGGGGTTTGGGGACAGTCCTCCGGCCTCGGAGCCCAAGCCAGCGTCTGGGGATAAATTCGGAGAAGCGGATAGGCGTCATGGAAATACTTACAGGGGCGAATACTGAATTGTGAATTGTTGCATCAAAACAGGCGCAAGGTTTGCTAGTGTCGTCGGGCTTGGAATGGCAAAGAGGGGCGAGACGTGGTGGCACAGAAAAACAGGAAGTCACTCGGGTTATTTTCGGCTGGTGTTTTTCATTTCTTTTTCGTTCTTCTCTGGCACAAATTTGTTCTTGTCTGCTACGGATATGGCAGCGTACGGCATGACTGGGCGAAACGCGGGTGCACAAATGGATTGTTATATACCTAGGATTGGATTGGAGGGCACAGATGAAGCTCGCTTTACGACGGGACAGAGCATTTCTTCAACAGCTATAATGCTTTTTTGGGGGGCTTGTTTTTCACAGGGGACGGCAGAATTTGCAACATTGTCACGTCACGGCGTATTGTCTTGGTCGCGGTGTTACATTGCATACGGAGATTCGGTTCGATGCTGAGCGGTCAGACTTTCGATTGAATGCCTGCCTAGAGTACGGCGTCATCTTGGGGCATGGAACCATAGGGCTGGGAAAACAAGTTGGGAGCTGAGAAAGCAAGAACAAAAGCATTGATCAGCCCTAGCCTACTGTGCGTGGCATGGCGTATTAAAGTGTTGGGAAGGACAGCAATTTCGAGGTAAGGGACGCCGTCATTATTACTACAGAATGTCATTGGTCACTGTGCAACATGGATTCTGGGTTTTCATAACACACACATTGAAAAAAAAAAAGGACAGCAAAACAAAAGGCAGGACGGTGTTCTACGGGGGATGCTGGATTTTCGTTTTCGGAGGTTTCTTTATTTCCATTTTTTTTTACCTCACCTCTCGGTTCTAGGGCGGCTTAGGAACGGGCATGGGATTCTTCTGTAGGGTTATGCCAGGTATACCTGCTCTCCCGTTGGTTTGTTACGGCTTTGGGCACGGGGTGTTTTTGATATTTCTTCCTTGTGAGTATATTAAAGTAGAGGATAAGTGTGAATAGTAATGAGGAGTGATGACTGGGCCTGGGAGTGTCTTAAGATGTGGCTAGTGTGACTTTTGAGGGTCGTAATGTGAATTGGACAACACAGGGTGTGGTCATGACGGTATAATGCCATAATTGAACCTGCTATGCCGATGCTAGTGTCAATGCTTAAACTCCAAGAATAACGCCACATCCCTAATGATATCTTACAACCGTTTGTCGCCTACGCAGCCCGATGACCTGACAAGACTCGTGTAGACGTGCATCATGGAAAATGAGCAGTCCTCACAAAGCCAAAAGCTTAGCGCCCTCTTCCAAGTCCATCACGTCATCTGCCCTCATGGCCTTGCCTCCCCAAATGACGGTCCCCCTCCCGTCAACGGCAAAAGCGCCCGACTCTTGCCACTTGTTCCCCATGACTGTGGAAACGCCGCCGTCGTCGTCGACGTTGTCGTCCTCGCCGGGCCCGACGCCGCCACCCCCAGCAGCACCAGCAGCACCCGCGGCGCGCCGTCTCTCGGGGTGTTGTTGTTGGTTTCTCGCGGGCTGCGCCGCCGTCGTCCCCTTGCGCTGCATCGCCTCGGCCACCTTGTCGCCCAGCCAGCCCTTCTCCTTCCACCCCTGCACCTGGGTCGTCGGGTTGAACAGGTGCCACACGTTGGCGACGCCGAGGCCCCAC